GCAGAAAAACTCAGGGCAGCAACACCAGCAGCACTACGTCCCACAGCAGCAGCAACAAGAGCAGCAGCAGGCTCAGGCGATGCAGGCCCTGAAGCACCCAAAGAGTCTCCTGCTGCTGCTGAAACTGCAGCAGCAGCAACAGCTGCTGCTGCTCCTCGTGCTGCTGCTACACATCCCATAGAAGCAGCAGCAGGAGCAGCAGCAGCACCAGCTGCTGCTGCCGCTCCCGGGGGCCCCCCTGCTCTGGAGGGGCCCCCAGGTGGTGAGGGGGGCCCCCCCACGGCAGCGCCAGACGAGGGGCCCCCTGCTGCTGCAGAGGAGACAGCAGAGCATCTGCTGCTGGGGGCCCCTACAAGGAGTGCAGCAGCAGCTCAGGGGGGCCCCGAAGCCGCTGCAGCAGGAAAGGAGGCGCCTACAGGCATGGCCAGCAGCAGCAGCAGCAACAGCAGCAGCAACAGCAACAGCAGCAGCAACAGCAGCAGCAGCAGCAACAGCAGCAGCAGCAGCAGTCAGGACAGCACAAGCTGCAGCGGAATACCCGCAGAAAGGTGCAGCAACGAGAGCAGCAGCCATACAGATGGCAGCAGCAGCAGGAGCAGCAGCAGCAGCAGCAGCAAACGGAAAGCTGCAGCAGAGCCCCTGACCCTTGCAGACCAGTTCAGCACCAGCAGGATAGGCAGCAGCAGCAGCAGCAGCAGCAGCAGCAGCAGAAGCAGCAGCAGCAGCAAACGAGCAGATACTGCATTACCCCTTCCTTGGGAGGGAACCCCACAAAGAAGCAGCAGGCAGCCACCAGCTGCTGCAGCAGCAACTGCAGCAGCAGCAACTGGTGCAGCAGCAACTGCAGCAGCAGGTGTTCCAGCAGCAGAAGTTGCTGCTGCTTCTGTAAATGCTGTTTCAGCAGCTGCTGCAGCAGCTGCAGCAGCAGAACCAGCTGCTGCTGCTGCTGCTTCGCTTGCTGCTGCAGCACAGAAGCGTCAGAGCTGTCTAGAGGGGCCCCCCTCCTCTGTGCGGCTGTCGAGGGGCCCCCAGGAGCAGCAAGGGGGGCCCCCGCTGTACCCAAGGCAAGAGGGGGGCCCCCCAAAGACCCTCTGGGGGGTGCAGTCACCGCGGCTGCAGCCGCCCGCTCCCGCAGCAGCTGCAGCAGCAACTGCAGCAGCAACA